GCGGCTGCACCAATTTGCATTCCCACCAACAGTGCAAGAGGGTTCCCATTTCTCCACAGTATTTCCTCCTTTTAAAGTAATACTGAGCTCACAGATTGACCTCACCATTTGTTTACTCCCTTCTGGAGCAGAACTCAAGAAGCAGGAAATTTCCCAGAGCCTAGACTGGATGAATTTAACTTAGCCTTTGTCTATGCACTTTGCTACCCTTTACTAAAGAGTTAATTCCAAAAATTATGCAAAATTGCTCTAAACTCAGATAGACATTTTTCTACCCATGCATTTAAAGTAATACATTTTACAATATATTTAGTTTCTACAGATGTTTTATTCAGGCTTGGAGTTAGTTTGTTCTGATTAACAAGGTTTTTGAATAGAATTTAAAATGTGCATACTCTACTAATAAAATAGCATAGCTGTGTAATTTGTAAATCCATACATGCATATATATTGGTATGTTAGAGACAACCAAAAGTACAATAGGGTTGGAATGGAATGGAAATTCTGGGAAATTCTGGATTCCAGTAGGGTCTTGAGCAGATTCATATTCACATCCACAGGGAGTCATCTGCAATTTTGAAAATGTTTTGGAAGCCCTTCCTTGTCATTAGTAGTAGAAAAATCAGTGGGAGCTGGTTTTGTTTAATATTTTGCTGATTTCTGTATAACCTCATATAGCCTTTATAAGAGTGCATACTGTAGTTTGTGGTTTATATGAAGTTCTACTTAAGGAATTGCCAAAATAAAACTAAATTGAGATACATGTGTGGACATTCTAGATACTTTATAAATGCATTTTCAGTGATGGAATACGTTCTTGCCATTGGTGATAATTTATTGCTTGGGCTATCTTTTATTTAAAGAGCTACTTAAAGATCTTTTAAAAACTATTAAAAATCTACTTAAAAAACAAATTTATGTTCTTCTGCTTTATTTTATTTAAGTGGCTAACATATGCAATGAAATTTAAATTCATTATTACTATGTAGTTTTTAAGTACCTCCTATTTATAAAGTATTCCTGAAAAACTATGTGCTTTCAGGAATATATTGCCTTCATATTGATATATTTAGGATATAATTTCTAAATTTTATGAATTTTGTTTACAGGTTCTAGAATTATATATTCATGTAGTCTTTAAATTCTCAAAGTCTCCAATTTATGTGACAGGAAAAACTTTTAATCTCCTTAACAGCCTTAATATTAAATATGATGTTTAAAGAATTGTGGATAATTTATTATAAAAAATTCTACTTACGATTTTAAGAAAATTAAGGACATTCAGTTTTTCTAGATATCTTGTGGTAACTCCTCCAGATCCATCCATCCCCCTAACCAGCCTGCTCACGCTTGTATCTTTTGTGTTTTGGTCCATGAAGCTTATTCATAATAGACTGCATCAAAGATATCTTTGGTACTCTGGCTTCCTGCTAGTGTAACCAACGGGTTCAGTGGTAAGAGACCAAGGGAGATAATGGAGAAGAATGAGGGTGTGGTATTTATACCCCTACTTGGTTACTGCGTCCCCCTCCCCAGAATGACAGCCACTGGCACTATGTAGCCAATAATCTAGCAAATGTCTTTTCATTTTCCTATCAAAAAAGATAACCAGAAATAAGTTGCAGTTCACAAGTTCGAGCCCTGCATTGGGCTCTGTGCTGACAGCCGGAAGCCTGTAGCCTGCTTCAGATTCTGTGTTTCCCTTGCTCTCTGCCCCTCTCCTTCTCTCTCTCTCTTTTCTTTCTCTCTCTCTCAAAAATAAATAAACATTACAAAAATTTAAAAAAAAATAAAGGAGAGTACATATACTATATTTATTATACTCAAGCAGCGTCTGAAAGCACAAATGAACTAATGACTCAGATTCCCCTGGTACTCTCATTGTACCTGTTTCTTTAGATTCTCTGTCTTTCCCTTAACCTACATTCCTGGCTCCATGGGTACTTCCCTATGATTGGAGAAAGGATGGAGTAGGAAGATAATTGTGTCCCATATAAATGCTCACAAGAATGCTTCTACTGTGGAAGAAGATCTCAGTAATAACACAATGTTAAATCTTCTCATTTTGTTTTGCATTGTTTTGTCATGTGAATTAGTCAGATATTACCATAATAATTCTTTGTAACAAATGCTTTGGAACTCAGTGACTTACTGCCACTTTTTAAATATGGCTTATAGCCACTTTTTTAATAGCTCATATTACTGACCTGTAAGTTTTAGTTGATTCTTTTGTGTTTTGATATATAATTGTATCAACAGAAAATCGTACTTATTTTTTTCCTTTTTCTTTCTGATATTTATAACTCCTATCTCATCGTTTTACTTCTAGATGATTTTAAAGGCCTCCACTCTTGCAGTTTTTCTCATTTTGTAATTACATAGAGTGGTTGTATGTAACTCTGTATATACATTGGTTGTTATAAGCAGGATTTGTACAAACAATTATTATCTTATAATACATATATTTTAATCCCTTTGATGATAAATGATGAAAGCAATGTATTTTATAAGGCAATACTAAAATAATTTATATTAAATTTAGGAAGCTTCACAGATAAGTAATTTTGGAATCTAAAGTATTTCATATTTCTCTTTTACAAATAAAGATTGCCTTCTGGAGCTTTTGTTTTAAAATCAGATTTTCTTTTGTTATTGTATGTCTAGAACATGAGGCCTATTTGAGAGATATTGTAGAATTACAATGGCATCTTGAAGATAGAGCTTATCAGCTAAAACATTTTGAGGAACAAAAGGTGAAATTGGAGGAAGCTAATGCAAAGCTTCAAGCAGACACAGACTACATGAATGCACGCGGTCCTCTAATTAACTCAAAGCAGAACCAAGAACTTGAAACTCTGAAAGAATTTTATATAAAAAAATTTGAGGTAAATTAATGGATATGTATCTTATAGATTTATAGATAGTTATAAAAAATGTTTCAGCTAAAAGAAATTAGCATCTTTAAATGTTTCATTTTCATTGAAAATTGACCTGCTACTTATTTCCCAAAGGAATATTATACTACACACAATACAGTCATTTGATATTCATTTAAACTGTGTCTTCTTTCCTTTTATACTTAGGGGTATTAATAATATTTAGTCAACTTACTGATAAAATTTTGGAGATTTAAAACAACATGGTAATATTTGAAGTTGTAAATTGAACTGCAGGAGAAGGCAAATATATATCAGTCACTTTCATTGTTTATGACAATAAAGTATAAAATATTTTCAATGATTAGTTAATATTTAACACTCTTATTGTGGGATTGTGTTACAGAAAAATAAAGTATTTATACCTGCCATTAAATGACCAAGTATAGAAAAATAAAGTATTTATACCTGCCATTAAATGAGCACATTTATACCTGCCGTTACTTTTGGTTATTTAGAACTGCTAAATGTGTTCTGTATTTTCCTCAACCAGTCCATTTTCCTCCCTCGCTCTCTGAAGACAACCTTACCATGAAATTCTGTTTCTAGGTGAAAGTTGTATATTTTTATACATATATATGTATTTTAGCACAATACATGGTTTCTTTTTCATTCTTTAAATAGTATCAAATGTATAACTTTCTGCGAGTTGTTTTTTAATCTGATTTTTTTAAGATATCAAAATATTGTTGATACAGAGAAATCTAGTTTATTCCTTTTACTTGCTGTCTTGGATTTGACACCTAAAGCAAACCTAACAAAGGCAAAAACAAGCAAGTGGGGCTAAATCACCGTGAAAAGCTTTTGCACGGCAAGAGGAACCACCAGCAAAATGAAAAGACAGTCTGCTGAATGGGAGAAAATATTTGCAAATCACAAATCTGATAAGGGGTTAATATCTGAAATAAAGAACTTAGCAGAGACAACCTGAAAAAAAATTGGGCAGAAGATCTGAATAAATATTTTTCCAAAGAAGATATACAGATAGCCAACAAGTACATGAAAAGATTCTCAGCATCACTAATCATCAGGGAAATGCAAATCAAAACCACAGTAAGATATCATTTCATACTTGTCAGAATGGCTATTATCAGAAAGACACGAAATAATAAGTGTTGGTAAAGATGTGGAGAAAAGGGAACCCTTGTGTACTCTTGGTGGGAATGTAAATTTGTGCAGCCACTGTGGAAAACAGTATGGAAGTTTCTCAGAAAATTAAGAATGGAACTGTCATATAACTCAACCATTTCACTTCAGTATATTTGTTAGTAGAAAAAAACACTAACTTGAAAACATATGTGCACCCCCCTGGTACATTGCTGCGTTACTTATAATAACCAAGATATTGAAACAATCTAAGTGTCTATCAGTGGATGGCTGGATAAAGAAGATGTATATACATACAGTGGATTTTTACTCAGCCAAAAAAGAATGAGATCTTGCCATTCGCAACAACAGGGATGGACCTTGAGGACATTATGTTGAGTGAAATAAGTCAGACAGAGAAAGACAAATATCATATGATCTCATTTATATGTGGAATCAAAAGAAACAAAATAAAATACAATTTCATAGTCATAGACAACAGATTGGTGGTTGCCACAGGCAGCAAGGGTTAGAAGATGAATGAAAAAGGAGTCAATAGATAAACTTCTAGTTATAAAATACATAAATCAGAGGGATTTAATGTGTAGCAATGGTGACTATAGTTATAATATTGTACCGCATATTTATAAGTTGCTGAGAGTACATCTTAAAAGTTCTCATCACAAAAACATCTAGCTATGTGTGGTGATGGATGTTAACTGGACTTACTGTGGATCATCTCACAATATAGAGAAACATTGAATAATTATGTTTTATACTTGAAACTTATATGTTAATTGTATCTCATTTAAAAAATGAAAAACGTTTGTGCTTAAGGGGCACCATCAGTATCTGATAAAAGGTCAATATTCAAAATGTGTGAAGACCTTTCATAACTCAACACCAGAAAAACAAGTAATACAATTGAAAGGTGGTCAGAAGACCTGAATAGACATTTTTCCAAAGAAGACATCCTGATGGTCGATAGATGCATGAAAAGATGCTTCACATCTCTAATCATCAGGGGAGTGAAAAAACCGCAATAAGTTATCACCTCATAGTTGTCAGAATGGCTAGAATAGAAAAGACAAAAAGGAGCAAGTGTTGACAAGGATATGGAGAAAAAGGAACCCTCATGCCCTGTTGGTAGGAATATAAATTGGGACACCACTGTGGAAAACAATATGGAAGTTACTCAAAACATTAAAAATAGAAATACCGTATGATCCAGTAGCTCCACTACTGAGTATTTACCCCAAGAAAACAAAACCCTATAAAAAGATATATGCACCCCTGTGTTTATAGCAACATTATTTACATTAGCCAAGATATGGAAATAACCTCAGTGTCCATTGATAGATCAATGGATAAAGAAGATGTGGTACATGTATATACAGTAGAGTGTTAGCCATAAAAATGATGAGATCTTGCCATTTGCACCAACATAGATGGACCTCTAGAGGATATTATGCTAAGTGAAATTAACCAGTCAGAGAAAGACAAATCCTGTATTATTTCACTTCTATGTGGAATCTGAGAAATACAACAAACAGAAAGCAGGAACAGACCTGTAAATACAGGGAACAAACTGATGGCTGCCAGAGGGGTGGGGGTAGAGGGATAGGCAAGTGGATGATGAAGAATGGGAGGTACAGGCTTCCATTTACAGAATAAGTAAGTCTCTGAGATACAAGGTACAGCCTAGGTTGTATAGTCAATGATATTGTAAAAGCGTTGTATGGTGACAGCTACACTTGTGAGCATACGATAACGTATAGACTTGTTGAATCACTATGTCATACACCTGAAAGTAATTTAACTTTGGGTGTCAACTATATATCAATTAAAAAAGCAAAAAAGATAAAGGGTACTATCAAAAAAGTAAAAAACAAAAACAAAAACAAAAACAGAATGAGAGAGAAACAATTGTAAATTATACATTCAGAAAGGACATAGTATCTAAAATATATAAAGAACTTTTTAAATGCAACAAATCAGGGCATACAGCCCAATTATAGTGGGCAAAGGACTTGAATAGATTATCTCCAAAAGGCATACATACAAATGGGCAGCAAATGTGTGAAACGATAGAGGCTCAACATCATTAGTCGCTACGGAGATACAAACAAAAACCCCAATGAGATACCACTCACAACAAAATAACAAAGTTTTGGTGTCTGTGTGGAGAAATTGGAACTGTGGTACTTTGCTGGTGAGAAAGTAAAATGGTTGCAGATGCTGTGGAAAAGACTTTGGCATTTCTTCAAAAGGGTTAACGTAGAATTACTATATGCTCTAGCAGCAGTTCTACTCTTGAGGATTATATACCACAAAGAATTGAAAACTGATATTTAAAGAACAAAGCCAAAAGTTTTTACATAAATATTCGTAGCAGCAGTGTTTATATTAGCCAAAAGGTGGAAACAGCCCAGTGTTCATCGTCAGATTAACGACTAAACAAAATGTCATATATCTATACCATAGGAAGAAATAAAAGGAAATGAAATACTGATACATGTCACAACATAAATCAACTTTGAAGGATTATGCTAAATAAAGAAGCCAAATACAAAAGATCACATGCTTTATGATTTTATTGGTATGGAAAATCCAGAATACGTAAGTCTGTAAGACAGAAAACAGATTGTGATTGCTAGGGGAGAGTATAATGTAGTGTTTTGTTTATAGTCATTTATCATATAAATTTGTTTTGTTTTATTCTGCTGTCTTGACTCAGTTTTTAAAAAAAAAAACTTTTTTTTTTTTTGCATTTATTTATTTTTGAGACACAGAGAGACAGAGCACAAGTGGGGGAAGGGCAGAGGGGCAGAGAGAGAGGGAGACACAGAATCTGAAGCAGGCTCCAGGCTCTGAGTTGTCAGCACAGAGCCCAATGTGGGGCTTGAACTCACGGACCTTGAGATCATGACCTGAGCTGAGGTCGGACACCCAACCGACTGAGCCACCCAGGCACCCCTGTCTTGACTCAGTTTTGAGGTCCTGGCTAGAGGCCTACTGAAATAACCAATTGCTTAAATGATGCAAGACCTCTAGCCAATGTACCTGAGCCCTAGTGCATAGCTACTTGCAAATCAAGCTCACAGCCTCATTGTTGCCTTCAAATTCATCAAGCAGCTTGGCCCCATAACACCATAGAGCCACAAGAGTATTGTACACAATCGGCTGGAGTATCAATGGGGGAAGGATATGCCAGTGCCACATGGGCCCAATCCAGAGATTGCCCTTGAGATGAATTTGTCTTGTTCCTGACAGGGAGCCCACCACCCCAGCAATGCCTACAGGTTACCTCTTCTAAAGGTACTGACAGGTTGGACATGGGATATTTGATATTAGGAATTCTGTTATGTTTCCTGACCTCTTGTTTGCTTAGCTCATCGTCCCTGCATACTCCTTGCTCTCTGCTAAGATACATATGCCCACACTCCTGTGCCTAAAGGGGAGTCTTGTAGGGGTTACTGCCATCTGTGCTATTCTAGAAATTAATGAACATTATTGCTTTTTCCAGGAGGTACTTGCTTCATTTCAGTCCACCACTTTACCCACTGGGGAAAGGATTGTTCACTCCCTAGTGCTTTCTCTTGCTCTCCCTCTAACATTCCAGCAGTGACAAAAAAAAGGGGGGGGGGGAGAAATGGAGAGAGAAGGGAGATTGTTTATATTTGATAATTAATAAAAACAATAACAATGGAATATTTTGGACCCTTTCATTAATAGTGGTTATTCCTGAGAGAATTACAGGTGATTTTATTTATTTTTCCATCTGTGTTTTCTGGTTTTTCTACAATGAAGTAATATTGTCTCAGTGATAAAAATAGCAAAAAGTAGCAATTCTCCTATAGGTGAAAAGATAATTCTTTTATTTTGCTTATGTTACCTGGGATATTGAAGTTATTTTCTTCAGTAACTTTTATACATTTCTAGCATTGATGTCTTTCAGGCTAATGCAAACCTGAAACTTTACTGTGCTCAATAGACTACATATGGGAGGAAACTGATGTAAAGAACTTTAAAAAAAAAATCAGAACAACTCTAAATTTAAGTCTTTTCTCTGATCTTACTCTTGCTTGATTCTTTTAATTACTAAGTGTATAAACAATAATATTTTTCATTTCTAGGTAATGGAATTATACAAACAAGTTCAGGAAGAACTTGCAGAAGCTATAGAAAACTATAAGAATGCCAAATTGAAGGCTAAACAAATGAAACAAGACATGGAAAAAGATATTCATAATGATGAAGCAAGCCTAGAAGCCTACAAGTAAGAATTTTTCACAAATGCTGCTTACAGCATTTTGAACAAAAATATTGATTAAAATTTAATTTATATTCCTGTATAAAATATCAGATAAAGAGAAAGGAAAGAATCTAAATCACCCATTTTTATCTTATCACTATGTTTATATGTAAATTAAGACATGTTTTTTACATATGTAAATATATGTGTATGAAATCCTAAGCACTATTTTTCTATTTTATTTTATATTAGGTTTTTTATTTTAATTACACTATTAATATATAGTATTATATTATTTTTAGGCATACAGTATAGTGATTCAACAATTCTGTACATTGCTTGGTGCTCATTATGATAAGTATGTTTTTTAATCCCCCATTTTACCTATCCCCCCCCATACACACACCCTATGTTAATCATTAGTTTGTTCCCTGTAGTTAAGAGTCTGTTTCCTGGTTTCTCTCTCTCTTTTTTCTTCCTATACTCATTTGTTTCTTAAATTCCACATAAGAGTAAAATTCTTGTATTTGTCTTTCTGACTTATTTTGCTTAGTATGATACTCTCTAGCTCCATCCATATTGTTGCTAATGGCAAGACTTCATTCCCTTTTATGACTGAATAATATTCCACTGTGTGTATGTATTATATATATATATATATATATATTTATATATATATATATTTATACACACACACACACACACACACACACACACACTACATCTTTATCCGTTCATCTATCAATGGATACTTGGGCTCCTTCCGTAATTTGTCTATGAATGATGTTGCAATAAACATAGGGGTGCATGTATCCCTTTGAATTAGTGCTTTTGTATTTTGGTAGTAAATACCCAGTAGTGCAATTACTGGACTGTAGAGTAGTTCTATTTTTAACTTTTTGAGGAACCTCCATACTATTGTCCATAGTGGCTATACCATTTTGCATTCCCACCAGCAGTGTAAGAGGGTTCCTTTTTCTCCACATCCTCGCCAACACCTGTTGTTTCTTGTGGTTTTTATTTTAGCCATTTTGATAGGTGTAAGGTGATATCTTATTTGTTGTTTTGATTTTCATTTCTCTGATGATGAATGATGTTGAGCATCTTTTCATGTGTCTGTTGGTCATCTTTATGTCTTCTTTGCAGAAATGTCTGTTCATGTCTTTTGTCCATTTTTAATTGGATTATTTGTTTTTTGGGTGTTGAGTTCTATCAGTTCATATATTTTGCAATACTAACCCTTTATCATATGCCATTTGCAAATATCTTCTCCCATTCAGTAGATTGCCTTTTAGTTTTGTTGATTGTTTCCTTTACTGTGCGAAAGCTTTTTATTTTGATGTAATTCCAGTAGTTTATTTTTGTTTTTATTTACCTTGCCTTGGGAGACCTATCTAGAAGAATGCTGGTATGGCCAATGTCAGAGAAATTACTGCCTATGCCATCTTCTAGGATTTTTATGGATTCAGGTCTCACACTTAGGTCTTTAAACCATTTGCGTTTCTTTTGTGTATGGTCTAAGGATGACTCAGTTTCATTCTTTTGCATGTAGCTGACCAGTTTTCCCAACACCATTTGTTAAAGAGACTTTTTGTATATTTATTCCTCCTTTGTTGAAAAGTAATGATCATATAATTGGCAGGTTGATTTCTGGGGTTTCTACTCTGTTCCATTGATTTATGTGTTTATTTTTGTACCAGTACCATACTGTTTTGATTACTACAGCTTTGTAATATAACTTGAAGTCTGGAACTGTGATACCTGTAGTGTTGCTTTTCCTTTTCAAGATTGCTTTGGCTTTTTTGGAGTCTTTTGTGGCTCCATACAAGTTTTAGAATTTCTTGTTACAGTCCTGTGAAAACTGCTCTTAGTATTTTGATGGGAATTGCATTAAATGTAGAGATTGTTTTGGGTGGTATAGACATTTTAACAATATTTGGTCTTCCAATCCATAAGTATGGTTTGTCCATTTCTTTGTTTCATCCTCAATTTCTTTTATCAGTGTTTTATACTTTTCAGAGTACAGGTCTTTCACCATTTTAGTTAAGTTTATTCTTAGTTATCTTATCATTGATGCAGTTGTAAATGGGAGTATTAATTTCTCTTTCTGCTGCTTCATTATTAGTATATAGAATTTCTTCCCGTTGATGTTGTATGCTGTGACTTTACTGAATTCATTTATCAGAACTGGTGTTGTTTTGGTGAAATTTCAGCGTTTTCTGTATATTGTATCATGTCATCTGCAAATAGTGAGAGTTTTACTTCTTTCTTAAAATTTTGGATGTCTTTTATTTCTTTTTGTTTTCTGATTGCTCTGACCTTTTGTTGTCTGATTGCTGTACTGTGCTGAATAAAAGTGGTGAGAGTGGACATCCTTGTCTTGTTCCTGACCATAGGAGAAGAGCTCTCAGTTTTTCCCCATTGGGTATGATGTTCACTGTGCATATTTCATATAAGGCCTAATTATGTTGAGGTATGTTCCCTCTAAATTTACTTTGTTGAGGATTTTTATCATGAATGAATGTTGTACTTTGTCAAATGCTTTTTCTTCATCTCTTGAAATTGTTTTTACCCTTTCTCTTATTGATGTGATGTATCACGTTGATTGATTTTGAATATTAAACACCTTGCATTCCAAGAATAAATCCCACTTGATGAGGTGAATTATTTTTTTTACTGTATTTTTGGATTTGCTTTGCTAGTATTTTGTTGAGAATTTTCGCATCTGTGTTTATTGGAGATACTGGCTTGTAATTCATTCTCTCTCTCTCTCTATTTTTGTGCTGTCTAATATTGGTATCAGGGTGATGCTGGCCTCATAGAATGGATTTGGAAGTTTTCCTTAAAATTCTATTTTTTGGAATAGTTCAAGAAGATTAGGTATTAACTCTTCTTTTTATGTTTGGTAGAATTCACCTCTGAAGCAGTCTGGTCCTGGACTTTGTTTGTTGGGAGGTTTTTTAAATATATTTTTTAATGTTTATTTATTTATGAGAGAGAGAGTGCACGTGTGTGAGTGGGAGAGGGGCAGAGGGAGTTTTTAGTTACTGATTCAGTTTCCTTGATGGTCATTGAGATGTTCAAATTTTTTTATTTCTTCCTGTTTTGGGTTTGGCAGGTAATATGTTTCTAGAAATGTATCCATTTCTTCTAGGATATATGTGATTTGTTGGCATATGATTTTTCATAATATTCTCTTAAAATTATTTGTATTTCTGTGGTGTTGGTTGTTACTTCTCCTCTTTAATTTATGATTTGTTTATTTGAGTCCTCTCTTCCTTTTTTCTTTGTTTTGATGAGCCTGGATGGAGATTTATCAATTTCGTTGATCTTTTGAAAAGCCAACTCCTGGTTTCAATGATCTGTTCAACTGTTTTTGTTTGTTTGTTCATTTTTTTTCCTTTAGTTTCTGTATCATTTATTTTTGCTCTAGTCTTTCTTATTTCCTTCCTTCTCCTGGTTTTAAATATTGTTTGTGGCTCTTTTATAGATGCTTTATATGTATAGTTAGATTGTCTATTTGATTTTTTCCTTGGTTCTTGAGTAGGCCTGCATTGCTGTGTATTTCCTGCTTGAAACCACTTTTGCTGCATCCCAAAGATTTTGGATCCTTTTGTTTTCATTTTCATTTGTTTCCATGTAATTTATTTCTGTTTTGATTTCTCAGTCAATGCATTCATTGTTTAGTAACATGTTATTTAACCTCTGTGTATTTGTGGTCTTTCCAGATTTTTTCCTGTGGTTGGTTTCTAGTTTCCTAGTGTTATGGTCAGAAAAGATGTATGGTATGACTTTGATCTTTTTTAATTTGTTGAGACTTGGTTTGTTGCCTAAAAGTGATCTGTTTTGGAGAGTATTTGTGTGCACTTGAAAAGAATGTGTATTCTGCTTTTGAGGATGGAATGTTCTCAATATATCTGTTAAATCCATCTATTCCAGTGTGTCATTCAAAGGTACTGTTTCCTTGTTGATTTTCTGTTTGAATGATCTCTCTGCCACCGTAAGAGGAGTGTTAAAGTCCCCTACTATTACTGTATTAATATATATTAGTTCAACTATGTTTTCTATTAACTGCTTTATGTGTTTGGGTACTTTCATGTTGGGTGCATAAATATTTACAATTGTTGTATCTTCTTGTCAGATTGTCCCCTTTATTAGTATATAGTGCCCTTCTTTGTCTCTTGTTACAGTCTTGGTTTTAAAATCTATTTTGTCTAATACAAGTATTGCTACCCCAGCTTTCTTTTGACATCCATTTGCATGATAAATATTTCTTTATCACCTCATTTTCTATCTGCATGTGTCTTTAGGTCTGAAATGAGTCTCTTGTAAACAGCATATAGATGGGTCTTGGTTTTTAATCTACTCTGTTACCCTGTGTTGTTCTTTGGAGTGTTTAGTCCATTTACATTGAAAGTAATTATTGATAGATATGTACAAATTGCCATTTTGGTACTTGTTTTATGATTTCTATTGTAGATTTTCCCTGGTCCTTCTCTTGCTTCTTTCATACCTTGTTATCTTTCTTTAATGATTTCCTTTCTCTTTATTCTTCACATATCTATTGGATTCCTTTCTCTTTATTCTTTGTGTATCTATTACTGGTTTTTGATTTGTGGTTACCATGAGGTTTGTATATAACATCTTATGCATATTGCAGTATATATCAAATTTATGGTTGCTTAAGTTTGAACTCATTCTTAACTCCTCTCCCATCCATGTTTTTAGTTGTGTGTATAGTGTCATATTTTATATTTTTATTTTGTGAATCCCTGGACTGTTTTTTTATGGAAACACTTGTTTTTACTGATTTTGTGATTACTATTTTACATACTCTTACTTATGGTCTTTCCTTTCCACTCAGAGAGTCCTCTTTAGTATTTCTTGTAAGGCTGGTTTAGTGGTCATGACTCCTTTAGTTTTTGTTTGTCTGAGAAACTCTTTGTCTCTCCTGCTATTTGGAATGATAGCCTTTCTGGATAGAGTATTCTTGGCTGCAGATGTTTCCCTTAATATATCATGCC